TATATATATATATCTTTTATTTTATTTGGCAAGGTTTCTTCCGAGGAGGCTTGCCCTTGCCTTGCCCTGAGGCTGAGAGAGTGTGACCCGGGGTGTCCCCTCCCTCCCTCCCTCCCTCCCTCCCTCCCCATGGCCCAGCCGGGGATCTGAACCCTGGGCCCCTCTTCTTTGGGATGCCTTTCGGAGAGAGCCCAGGAGGGAGAGCCACGCCGCCTAGAAAGACTGCAGCCATGCTTCTGGACAGGAGGCGGGAATGGAGGACCTGTCCTGGGAAAGGAGGACCCCTGACTCCAAAGTGGAGGGCATGCAAGGAAAATGTAGGGACGCGACCAAAGAAAAGCCAAAAACACTCCTCTAGAAAGATGACCTCCTCCCTCCCTCCTTTGCCTTTGCCTCTTCTTTTCCCCGGACATGTCCTCCATTCCCGCCTTCTGTCCAGGAGAAAGTCCAAAATGTCCTCCATTTGGAGCAGGACTAAAGCACTGACATTTCTAGGCACATTTCAGCTTTCTATGGGGGGTTGCAGACTGCCAGAAATAGTGCAAATTGAGTCCACTTTTAGGGTTAGGGAATCATGGGAATTGTATTTTTTTTCTGAGACATATAGCCTTTTCTGTCAGAGAGCTCTGGTGCCACAATCAACTACAGTTCCCATGATTCCCTAACCCTAAAAGTGGACTCAATTTGCACTATTTCTGGCAGTCTGCAACCCCCCTTTGATCACGTCCTCCATTTTCCTTGGAGGTCCTCTACTCTGTAGTCTGGGTGACCAGAGGTCCTCCTTTCTCCAGGGCACGTCCTCCATTCCAGCCTTTTGTCCAGGAGGCATTCCAAAATGTCCTCCCTTTGGATTGAAGCATGCATTTGCCCTTCTAGAGAGGACAGCCTTGAGCTTTTTCTGTGGCCAGGTCCTCCATTGGTCTTGGCGGCCTTGGCCTCCTCTGCAGGGAGGGCCTCTGGTCAGGTTGCTCCTGGGTAGCAGTCAGGGAGACCTGGCCTTGATCCAGCCACACTTTAGCACTTTCCCAAATTTCCAGGGGAGGCCTGAGCAACCCCCTTGAAATCAGGGGGGATGGAAGAAAGAGGGTGCTTCCTTTGGGCCAAATGGTGCCCAGCTCCTTTGGGTGTAAATAAATAGAGTAGACCAGACATCATCAGGCCCTTCCTTCCTTCCTTCCTTCCTTCCTCTCCTTTTCCTGCTCTGTGTCACCTTTCCGCTCCCAATGTTGTTGGGTTTTGAATTTTTAATATTTTTTGGATGTATTTAAACTACCTAAATGGGTGCATTTTGATACAATTCCTGTACCGGGTTTTTTTTTTCTACCTCAAATCTGTATATGACCACTTGCTAGGAGAACAGGTTTGCCAAGTATTTATGCGAATTTTAAAAGAAATGATGGTGATGATGATGATGATGATGATGATGATGATGATGATGATTATAATTATAATAAAGAAAAGCTTTATGAAAACTAGATGTTCCTCAGCCCCTCTTTCCCTTCTGCAAACAGACTCCTTGCTTTTGTGGGGCTAAAATTGGGGGCAAACTCCGGCTTCCTTCTGCAGAGTGGGAAAAGTTGGTGAGGAAGGAAATCTGGGGTGAAAGAAGGCTAACTTCTCCCCAAGCAGAGGAAAAAGAAGCAGCCAAGAACAGATCCAACCAAAGGGTCCTCCTGATGTTGTTGGACTGTATGTTCCAGCAGCCCTCTTCCTCAAAGCCAATGTGGGTGATCGAAGACTACATCTGCACTGGAGAAATAATGCAGTGTGACACCACTTTAATTGCCACGGCTCCTATTAAATCCTGGGATGTGTAGTTTGTTGTGGCACTAGAGCTCTCTGATAGAACTCACAAAACTACTAATCCCAACGTTCCATAGCATTGAGCCTTGGTAGTTAAACCAGTAGAGCCAGTGTGGTGTAGTGGTTTGACCATTGCACTGACTCTTCAGACCAAGGACTGAATCTTGGTTCAGCCATGGAAACCCACTGGGTGACCTTGGGCAAGTCATACTCTCTCAGCCTCAGAGGGATGCAATGGCAAACCTCCCCTGAACAAATCTGGCCATGAAAATCCCATGATAGCTTCACCTTAGGGTTGCCATAAGTCATAAATGAAGGCAACAAGAACAAGTTAAAGCAGTGTCAAACTGCATTATTTCTGCAGTGCGGATGCAGCCGAAGTTGCGGTCCAATAACATCTCATGCTTCCCACTACGGATCTGAAGTGATTCCCTGTTTGCTTCCTAGCAGACTGAGGTACATCTTTTACACCACTGTAAATCTCCCTGCGCCTGTAGGGTATATCACAAGGTATAAATTGAAATAAATATGGTGTCAATCACATTTATACCTACATATAAATAACATAGATTCATTGAAAATACACATCATTTTGAGAAGTCTCTGTATTTATTGACATTGCTAGGTGCTCATGCTGTGTCCTAAATGTATGCAGTTTATTACTACAGACAAAAATGTTTATAGTCGCTTGAGAGTTTGCAGACCCAGCCATGTTTTTTGTTTTAAAAAAGGACTAGGCAGACAGGCAGATAAACACACGCACGCTCCTGGACCTGATTCATAATCCTGTTAAATATTAATACATGGATAACAGAGAGTTTGATCGGAATCCCAAACACCTTTATTTGGAAGTGGATTTAATTAAAATTAACAGAACTAACCTTTAGGTAAACATGGTGATGATCTGGACAAAAATGTTTAAAACTTTTTTTTTTGGCAACTTTTTGTTTTCAGTGGGAGAGCTGGGCATAGGCTTAAATATATCTCACTAAAATCAATCAGACCTCCGAAGTGATTGCAATGGGAATGAGTTAGCAAATCCTTTGAATATTTTAAGTAGGGATTAATGGGTTGGATCTAGATTTAGTCACATAATCTGTGGGATTGAAGTTAATCTTGACTAGTTAACTCACTTATGAGTTAATAAATGCCACATTTATTTCAGCTGAGATCTAAGCATGACTGTGTGGATCCAATTTATACCAATCTTTTAAAAATGTATCTTTAATTTCAGGTTTGCAACAGAAAATACATTTAGATAACTCTTCTGTTCTCTGCTGTTAACCTGCTCCAGTGCCAAGAGGTGATGAAAGTCAGATAAGGCATCCACAAATATAACAAATTACCTAAATCTAAATACTAGTCCTCACTAGATTAGATCCATCGGATCCATTGCTGAATAGTAAGTCATTGTAGTGTAGTGGTTTGAGCATTGGACTAGGACTCTGGAGTTGATGTTTGTTGTTATGTAGCTTCAAGTCGTTTCCAATTTATGGCAACACTAAGGTCAACCTATTATGGGGTGGATTTTTTTTTGGCAGGTTTCTTCAGAGGGGATTTGCCATTGCCATTCTCTGAGTCTGAGAGAGTGTGACTTGCCCAAGGTCACCCAGTGGGTTTCCATAACTGAGCTGTGAATCAAACCCTGCTCTCCAGAAGTCCCTGGAGAACCCTAGTCCAATGTTCAAACCACTATACCATGCTGGCGCAAGATTCTGGAGACCAGGGTTCAAATCCTGGCTTGGCCATGGGAACCCACTTTGGGCAAGTCACATTCTCTCAGCATCAGAGAATGGCAATGATAAACCCCTCTGAAGAAACTTGCCAAGAAAACCCCATGATAGGTTCATCTTAGGGTTGCCATAAATCAGAGATGACTTGGAGGGTCACAACATCAACAAAAACAACAACAAACACTGAGGCTGTTGCACTTTGGACATATG